CATGATCTGCATGTATGCGTTGCGTGCGCGCGTACGTATAAACATATGCGATAACGAAGGCGAAATTGTGTGCATCTTGGGTATGGGAATGTGTTGAATGCGAATTTGCTTGCATATGTAAATTTATTGAGTGATTCTCTGTTTTTTCTTGTTTTTTTTTTAATTTTCCATAGATTTGTTATGTCAAATATGCATTCATGCATCGACACAGAAAATCTGTAGAGAAGAAAAAGAAAGAGAGAGTAATGAGATAAGTTCAAAATCATATTATTAAATTTAATGATCAGATAAATTTTTTCCGTTTTTAATATCGTATGTATGAAGTAGAAAGTCACTCATATAAACACATGCTAGTCAAGAATCAAGTATGATATATTGTAGTCATGATATATTTTTACTGCAAAGAGAGAGAGAGGAATTATATATATTATAGCCTAAAAATTAAGCACATGTTCATTGATTTATTTCATTTTTGAAATTGTCTTCTAGTTCGGTAGAATTATGGACCAAATATTCGTTAATATATGAGAAATTTAATCATATTTTTTAACTTGATATGTAATTTTATGGCCAAACATACTGTAGTAAGAGCAGATTAAATGATAAATAAGTATCACATATCCATTCTTAAACAAATTTTTATTATTTTGTTCACTTTTATCACAGTATCTATTCGCTCATGACTTCATATTAAAACTGTGCAACATTTTTACTACTTAGTCGTCACGCTTTGAGAATTATTCATGGTTATTTTGGGAGAATAAGTGTATGTCGAATATATTTATAAAGTTAAATACATGTACTAGCTTTTAAGCTACGAGAAACCATATCTAAGAATTTATTAATGATATACATTGATTAATAAAAAAATGAATATACATATATTATATATATTAACTAGAAGTAAGTTTTCAAAGGGTATTACCAGTGCTCTATTCAGAATCGATGTACATAGTTTTGGTGTAGCCTTAGTATATATTAAATCTTTTATTTTTTGTGATTCGAGAATGATGTCATAAAAACGAATTTCAATTGTACATAACACTTATCACGATGAAATGCGCTCAAAATGTGTCTCTAAATACTTTTATATTAAAATAATAGCGATTCAGTTATATTCTGTGAGTAAATTTTATAATAATATGCATTTAAAATCTGATTTAGGAGCATATATTTCCGAAATTATCGGTGATACAGAGATAATTTGTCGTATTTTTAATTTCATTATTTACCTATCATGTTACACACTACTTCATTATATTTGTTACGTGAATACCAGAAAATAAGACTGGCTATTTTTTATCTCTTGTGCTATCAGATATGAAAATAGCTATTTTGAGAAATGCATAACTGATGATCCATTAAATAAAATATTCAAAGTTGGATCATTGATATAGCTTTTCATATTTGATAAAAGTCATCTTTATACATCATTTATATTAATTGGTCTCATTTAGCGTGCAGTAATGTGTACTTATAATTAGAAAAATGCATTAAAGATAATAGAATCACATGTCCGGAAAAGTAAACTAGATCTATTTCCTTTGACAATCTGTTATATAAAATAATAAAATTCTCTTCGTGTTGTAATAACATGATGGAATGGTCAAAGTGCTGGCGCTTTCGCACTGCGACTACTTGTACGTCAGTTTAATGAAAAAAGAAATATATAAGATAATATTTAGAGAAATTTTACATAAATTAAGAGAGAGAAGTCGTCCGCCAAAAAATAATTTTTTTCCTCTCTACAGGATTTGAAAAAAGTGTATACTAATGGCACACACGCAAAATTTTATTCTTAGAATAAATTATTAATATAATTTTTCATACATATATCTTCGATTTATATAGATTCCTTTTAAAAATTTTATCTAAGACTTGTTCATACATAGTGATCATACTGATCATACATTATTTATGCCCAATTATACATATAAATTAATGTGGAAAATACAATAGTATTTCGAAAATAGAAATCAATAATTTTATTTTTTATTTAAATTGTTAACTTTTTTTTTTAATAAAAACATAATTAAAATAAGAATGTATCATTAAGTTGACTTATTGTTTCTGAATGAATCAAAATCATAATTTATACAAAGAAATTTGTTTTGAAAAACAAGTTGATATTAATTTTTTTTTTTTTAATGATTTATTAGCTGCTATTTGTATACACTTTTTGTATAATTTATAAACAAAAACACCCATGATATAATATGTAAAACAGGCACAATATGTATTCTAAAACGCGCTTTCAAATAACTTTAACTCTGTTATCGAGAGATTGAAAAGTATATAAAGACTTTCTTTATTTTCTGAAATTAATATAATGAAATTATCACACTCTCTCTAGGTCATCCCGCAAGATCGTAAGAAAAGTAAAATATAATAATAAGTAATGACTAATGGAGCTTAAATATCAGATTGTAGAATGCATTTCATGAAAAGGATAAAATTCTTTACTTCGAATTTTTGTAATCATGATAAGAGGATAAGTAGGAAGATGAAGGAAATTAATTAAATTATTATAGTATGCCATAAAAATAAATTATAACTCATACACACAGTCCGTAGTAGCCGAAGTCATTAATTTACTAAGAAAGTAGAAAAAAATAAAGAATTTGAAAAATACTTTTGTATTTTTGTTACTTTTCCAAACCAAATCCGCTTATATAAGGATAATATTTTGGTTTTAAAAGCTTATATATATTATTAATGAAATTATATTCATATTATATCTAATTATATAAGAACTTATGCATATTAATATGTCTGTATTAAAATTATAGAGACATTAAAATAGATATCCTTATCAAATATTTCAAAGAAATATTCTAGTATATATATTTAACAATAGAAATATGTGAATGTGCTATAATAGTGACATAAAGAAATTATATATGAAAGAAATATTTTTTATAAAATTTGAAAACTATTGGACGAGATTGTAAAGAATAATTGATTTCTCTACCCTAATACCCTCTAATACATCCTATTCTCTACTAATGAAGGAAAGAAGAACCATATGCTGTATTGATATGAAATGTATAGCTATATAAATAGAAGTTTTATTAATCAAATATTCAACAAGACTTCTTTTTGGTTTATTAATGATATAGCATATAACATATTAAAGCATGTTCACAATAATGTTGACAATTGTTAATAATTCATAGCTCCGATTTTTATTTCTCTCGCATTTAACTATATTTTTATTACAGATATACTTCACAAAAATACAATTTTGCATATTTCTTATTTTTATAGGAGTAATATAAGTAATAAAAATATTGTTTCACAAATATATTCGATTCCATATGTATGTTCATTAATATAACTTGAATATTTTCTTTTTTTTTAAATTAATAAGCTTTTTTTGTCATCACAGTTTACTTCTTTTCTAATGCAGGATACATAACGCTTGAAATAAGACAATTTATGTGAATAATTAGAAGAGAAGTCATGCGATCTCGCAGAAAAAATATAAGTTCATTAATAAAAATGAAAAAACGTAAAATAAAAAAAAAATATATATACATATATATAAAATGAATAACATGTGTTACATTCTCTTAATAAATCACTCTCCTTCATATACAGAAACAATATAACAGTGCGTAAACTTTTTCTATCATATTTCTATTTACTTTCTGGCACAAAAGTTAATTTGTAATTTTATATATCTTTACAAAAATAAATAGCAGTACTTTTAAGGAGATTAAAAAGACAAAATCGCATTACCTCTACACACATTTTGATCCTTTTACTATTCATATAATCTTCGGTCAAGCTAATTTGCTTATTTTCATACACATTAATCTTCATGTCGTTGCTTTTTCTCTCCATCTCTCTCTCCCTCCTTATTGTATATGTAAATATACAATTTATAACAATATTTTTCTAAATTGTAAGTTTCTCATATATGAAAATTTTCTAAAACAGTGAATGTATTTTCATTTGCATAAAAATAGATTTATAACGAGAATTTGGAGCACAAAAATAGACTGCAAAAAAGATTTTTATATCTTGAACATGTGAAAATATACGCGCGTTAATAACATTGGTGTTCTAAATCGTCGTTATTTTATGTCGTTTTTTTTTTCGTATCTTCTATTATCTATAAACTTAACCGAACTATAAGCCGTCGCTACTTAGTTGTGCCAAAAAATGTCATATCAAAATGTAATGTTTATAACATCTACATATATGGTGCACTATATGTGTATTGTGTACGTAATATCAAAAAAAATAATATCAATAATATTTTCTTCAGAGAAATAAATTGTGTTCTCTTCAGATATTCGACACTTTTACGGGATTTTATAGTATATCACGTAATATACCAATAATAAGTGCTATGTTAAAAATCAAAATACTGCAAATTCTGGTTTTTGTTTCTATGTAGTTCACAATTTTGCATCTGTAAATATTTGTACATGAGAGAAACGAAAAAATAATCTTAAATATAATACAAATTAAATCGCATACGGTTAAACAATTGCCACTGTCAAAAAACTTATTGTAAATTTACTATAAACTCTGATCACTATACTATACAATGGCATATTACATACTAAAATACTAATATAATCAAATATGCACAACTGAAACTTTTTAATCCATGTTTTTCCACTTATCCACAATATATTCTGAGAGTGCTTTATGGTAATTTTTTAATAAATTCAATGGCACTTGTATATTGTAAAGTTCAATAAAGTAATATGTATATATATATACATATATATACATGTGTGTGTATGTCTATGTACATACGTATGCGCGATGTGACAGCCACGAGGATTTACGATGCAGCGATTAAAATCAATGTAATTTCGCCAAACTCGGTTCTCGAGGCTTTGGTTCACACACACACACACACATATACATATACACATACTCACACACATAACAATATATACAAAATATATTAAAAAAGATATAAATAAAACTATTCTTTCCTTTAAAAAAAAATGATATCAAATTCTTTTTGTAAGGGTTTAAATCATAAAGTAAAATATTCTTTTCGTAATAATTCCCTTAATGTTAAACAAAAAATATGTTTAAAAAAATAATTATTATCTCGATCGTTAAGAATTTGATTATTAAGTCGTAAATTTTTAACGCGAAAAAATAAATCCAATAATAATATAACCGTGTATATGCCTTTTTAAAGATATTTTGTATATAAGTGTGTATATAATGCCTTCGAAACTTTGTACATCATTATATATCATTAACAACCCTCTTTGGCTTAAAAATGTTTTTCGACCACGTGTGTTTAAAAGCTCAATTATGAATTATTAAAATATCCAATATTGAATTTATGTATACTTTATACAACCTAAAAAAATTTTTTTTTCTCTATAACTTACTTAAATTTTTCATTGAGACATATCGCGCTTTATATTTCTTTAAACTTAACTTATAAATATATCAATAAAACAGGCAACAGTAGCAGCAAGAAAATTAAAAACAATTATTTAAATGCTCTATTATGCTCTGGATGCATTTAGGTCTCTTCATTATAAGAGGCTCCAATAAAAATATCAGAGGTTCACATTTTTATAAAAATGCAAAATAGATTTTCTCCTTTTTTAAACTTATGGTTTAATGGAACCTTTTCTGTTATGTAAAAAGATGCTTTCCTCGGCGGAAATGTAGCATGTGTGTGATTAAAATTAAAATGCAAATTTTATTTATTTAGAGTCTCATTAAAATCATTTGTGTCCGAAATATTTGTGCACATAGAAAATGTTCTTATACAAAAAATTATAACTTATATCTGTAAAAACTCGAAAATACTTATTAATATATATTTTCTCTCAAATCTTGAAAGGATTCCAATAAACCATATATTTGAAAAGCAGAAAAATGATATACTTTGCATCATTCCAAAAATATTCATCATTAATGGGATACTCTGAATGTATTATATTAGAAAGAAATATAGTCATAATTTGAGATCTATGAATTGAACTAAACATATGTTCAGACAGCTAGTTCTTTGTAAATAAAATAATTTAATGTATTAATATCAAATAACTTTCTTTTTAAAAGTGTTATGATTGATTTGTATAGAAATGGTCTTTTTACTGAATCATGCCACTTATTCTCTTCTTTTGATTAATCTTTCTCATAAATAATAAATTAAAAAAAAAAAAATTAACTTAAATAATGATATCGTTAACTTAAATAATGATTAACAATAGCAACTATACTGAAATGGATGCATGAAAATAATAATATACATCAGATCTTTATAATTGAGGCTCACATGTATCAATTTTGATTAAAATTAAAAATGATTATGTAAATATTTATTTACTAATCTACTTTATTATATATTTTGTTATTTCTCAAATCTCAAATCATGACTATACCTTTCCAGATCTTTCATAGACTATATCTATGCAGACTAGATTCTAGGCGCTCGCTACTAGAGTAAATCTTCATTTAGTAATATTTTATTCTAAGATCTAGAATAACTCATTTTCTTAATAACAACCATTTTTAATACTATTAGTAATAAGAAATTATAACCTTACTATGTTAAAGGCCAATATTATTAAATATGTATCTCTGAAGTAACATATAAATGAAATATCTCCCTCTTAGTTTTTTTATTCTATAATTTTAAATCGTAGAATCTAAAAAACAGTCTTCCTCGAAATAAGCGTACATATTGTTTCTTCATAATTTGATTCAGCAAATAATAAAAAATACTAAAAAAATCAATATAATATTATCTTATCTCATATAAGTACATAGGGCCATTTTACGAGCAATTAATTTTGTATTAAGCCTAAATATTCTTAATAAAACGCATCTCTTGTCACCAATTAATATTTCACAAAGCTATTTATATAAGTAATTATGTACATTAAATTTAAAGCTAAAAAGAATATTAGATAAAATATCGACTTCCAAGAAAAAAAAAACCCTTCTTTTTATAATATGATTCTAAATATTATCAATCTGATAGAAAATATTCTGTTATGTAAATTGAGAATAAAATAAGAATTTACAGATACTCTTGCATCACATTAAGTGAATAATGAAAATTACTGTATAGAAAAGGCACAATGCAGAAAAATTGCCATGTTACTCAATGAATTATAAAGATATACCCTGTTTATAGAGCGTTAATTAAAGACAATGACAATAACTGATTCGCTAATATAATTAGCAAGTATATAAAGTTATTATACAATGCAAACTTAATTGCGTTAATGCCAATATGCAATTAAGGTTTGTATACATTCTCAAAAACAATTCTTATATGACTACGACTTTCCAAATAATAAAATTATTTGCAAGATTTGTGATTTCTCTTGGAATCTCTTATTCCAGAATCAGAATTATCAATGATGTTCTATGTTAAGATATGTGATTTTAGATTTGAAAGAATGGTAGTATACAACGGTATGTATACATTACAATTTCAAAAATAAATAAAAATACATATTAATACTGTAAATAATATCGTAGTTTATAATACAGATATTGAATATTATGAGATTATCTATTTACTTGCGATAACGTTATATTTGAGATGCTGAAAAATTAATCATGTAAAATCAGATTTATATTCAATTATAAATTTCGCAAAGAAACTTCAAAGCAGTTATATATTATTCCGAATCAATTTAGCTTCGTTGTAAATAAATTTGGAAATCTGCATATAAAAATTAACATATAGTTGTTAAATGCAATCATAGAATAGTTATATAGAAATTATATAAGAGATACATAGAAAGAATAATACCGTTTTATAGTTTCTTCATTAACAGGTGAATAGGATATCTTCCTCTACTTCTTGGTGTTCCGCTTGTGCTACTCTGTGCTATTACATTCTTTGTTTGAGAATGTAATAGCATCTTACATAATTTGTCGACCTCCTCGTCACTCGAGCTAAATCTACTTAAATGTCTGTCGCTAGCAGAACTTCGAATATCGTCACAATTCTCGACGTCGAATCTAAATCGCGGTTCCATGAGTACGGGGCTGGATGCTCTGGTAGCGGGTGCGGTTCTGCTGCGAGACTCGATATTTCTCAATGGGATTTTGCTAAGACCTTGATTATGGTTTACGTCCAATGTCGAAAAGTATCCTTTTATAGCTCGATGTACCGTTGTATGATCTTCTAGACTGTGACGTTTCACGTTTTGCTTCGTTTCTTTAGAGTCGGATAGCTTCAAGCTAAAATTTGTGGAATGACGTTTCGTGCGATCTAGCACACACTTGGAATTAGCAAATCTCAATTTGTCCTTGTCGAGTATCAAAGAATTTCTCTTAAATTTTTCGTCCACAGATCTCTCTTGGCTAGCGTCCCATCCAAACCTAGTTCTTCCGTACGGCGCCGAATATCTTTTAGTTTTAGACGACTGCTGGTCGCTCAGATTTTCCTTCAACATGTTACGTTGTCGCAAACCTTCTTCGTAATCTATCGAAGTTGTACTTCTCATTGACGGATCATCATTTTCACTTGTCCTACGTTTCATGCAATCTTCGTATTCAACAGAGGAATGTCTCTTGAACTTGGTCTTATCGAAGTTCACGCTATTTCGTCTAGGTCGAACCGCGCTGTTGTTTGGTCGTCTCCTCGTGGCGATAAAATCTTGCAAATGCGGGATTTTAGATGCGCTCGGGGAAGCGGAGAATTGCGTGGGTATCCTGATACCGGCGTCCACTAAGAATTCATCGTCCGACTGCATCACGGGTATTTCTGGCATGGAGCTAAAAGCCCAACAGGAATTATAATGAGCCGCGTCCGTGAGGGCTCTCAGACCGGCAAAGTTCGGCGCTCTGTCCTTGTCGCCGATGTTAGTAGGAAATTCATGCGAGTAATCCCGCCCCGTTAGTAGGGAATGCTGTTGCGACTCTTGCTTATTATCTTCTCTTACAAGCGGCAGAAGGAAAGATTTTGATGAAGCAAAGGTGGAAGAGTTATTATATTCGCTCGCTTGGATCGATTGTTCTCGAAACTTTGCGCGATCGTTGTCGGTATCGTAATACGAACCGCATTGGGAAGCATCACTACTTTTATACTCTTGCTCGCATGTATCCGGCAATTGCAAGAGAGCTTTGAATACAGCCAACTTGGAGCAGCTACATTGCAGCTTTTGCGTGATATAATCATTAGATGGTTCGTTTTCAAAGTTAAGATGTGACGTATTAGTATGTGAATTAAAATATCCTACTCTTT